ATAGGTACTAACCGAATAAAATTGCAGAAATTTCAAGATTAACAATAAAATAAACAGAAATTATGTAAAAATTGGTTCTTCACCCTGTAAGTACCTACAGTACATAAGCAAAGTGTTGACTGCTACGTACATAAAAACAAATTTTTAAAAGTACCCTTTTGCGGCAATAACTAAAAATGAAATATCGTACCGACCTCGTAAAGAATTCTCAAAGAAAGAAGAAAAAAGGATCCTACATATTTTTAAGTTTACGCAAACAAAAAGGGGTATTAAGGGACCCATTAAGTAAAATAAGGGGTTAAGTTAATAGATAAATTGAAGTCCACTGCTCTGCAGCTATGTCATCTACGTAAATAAAATATTTTAAAATATTTAAAATTGTGCTAATGAACCCGTTAATGTTTCCATGAAGATACTATTATAATTATTTGCGATGGTTATACAAGGTGTAGTTTTAAAACCGTGTCATTTCTCGGGGGCATGTCACAGAAGTCCTAAAGGTTTAATGTAAGAGAAAGTTTCGGGCCAATAGTTAAAAATACGGCTATAATAAATCGTTTAAGTTCGCCAGTATTTCAGAATAGGCGACAGCAATGTTTATTATTGAAGTTTTATGGAATTAAGAATAATATCAATTACGTGTTTGAGTTTGTGTGTGTTAAGCCGCGTTATAAAACTAGTTACAAGACGGCGGCGTGTAGTTCGCACTTACGGATTTCCGTAATTTACAGAAAAATGAAAAATATTTACCTACAATTTTTTTTATTGATTCGGACTCAGAATCGATAGCCGAGTTACCTCTTAGAAAATGACGCGGCTTTAAAATAACATCTTGTAGATAAGAGGTAATAAATAATAGGAGAAATATGTTTAAAACAAAATGAATTTGACTACTCATCATCATTACTATCAACATATCAGCAATAGGACGGCAACTGCTGAACATTATATAACACATATAGGTATCACTTATATTAATACCGGAGGCCCAATTAAAAATCTTCCCAAAATCCCTAAAAGGCCGGTAACGCACTTGTAACGCCTCTGATGTTCCAGGTGCCCATGGGCGACGCCGACTGCTTACCATCAGGTGATCAGTTTGCCCGTTTACCGGCTTATGTCATAAAAAAAACATAAATCTTCCCCAATGACATCAGATAGGCCAGTTGGAAGCCACCTTCCAAAGGCTCCCTGCTATTAGAATAATAAAAGAGAAAAACTACAAAGTGAAAAATACATTTTAACATTACACAATAAAAATATTGAAGCTTTTTTCTTGTATATCAAAAGAAATATATATAACGTTTGCCCTAAATGAAGATACATTTTAACTAAATATCAGAAAAGTAAAGTAAGTAATGTCTTTTACAATAAATGTAGTTTTACTTTGGTACTGACTCCTGGTTCTATTATACCACGAGTATATATTTTCTTGGTGAAAGTTGGATCTCGTACTCACGGCTGGTTATCAAGCTATGGTAATCCAGTGTAAAATGAACGTCGATTGCGCGGAAACATCATACAAGCCAAGACCACGATAAATTGGTTGTGTATAGTGTACGTCTTAGAAATGTCAGGTGAGTCGGAAAATCGCGTGATTTTAAAACATTATCTTCGCCATTTTGTTCTGTTTTATTTCTGAGAATTTCTCTAGCTTTAAAAATAAATTATTTCGCGACGTGGATCTTATTATCTTGTCTTTACTTGTTGGTTTGGTGATGTTAAACCAACTGCAGAGAGCAGAAACTATAATATTTTTAGATTTTTTTTAAGTTACTATTGGTATTGTAGTTGCAAGGGTACGCACTTGTAACGCCTCTGGTGTTCCAGGTGTCCATGGACGACGCCGATTGCTTACCATCAGGTGATCCGTCTGCTTGTTTACCGGCTTATGCCATAAAAAAGGGCCATAATGTCTATATTGTTATGCTGAACTAACCGCAATATGAATTATAAATGTACACAATACATACATACATACATACATACATACATAAAAAGAGTAAGTATACCGTTTTAAAGGAAAAGTTTAGTAAGTACGTTATAGTGTTCAATTAGTGCAAACTTACTTTAACATGAGCGAAGATACGAGAAAATAGTACGTAGTATGTGCGTATAGCGCAAGGCAAAGCAAGGTATAAAATACAATTCTCATTTCACAAGTTGCATATTTGTTGACTCCAGTATGCCGTAATCTCTGCAACTCATCGGTTCATTGATTTCTCATTATAAAGCTTTCGAGCTTCGGGTGACAAATTAACGAAATTTTAATAACTATATACGGCGACTGAAATTGCAAACGAGATTGAATTTTATTGTTATAGTGGTAGGATTTATATTCAAATGTAAATAAGCGGATGAGGTTTTTTTTATCTTATTTATTATATTTCAGCATGAAGCTATATAAAATTAAAAGTTGTGGATTGGTTAGGTAATCAAAATTTCATTGGTTCGAAAAACAGTACAAAAGAAGCAAAATTCTGATAGCCTTCCGGAATTTATTCTCAGAAGGTAGAACAATTTAATAAACTTTCCTCAAATATTCTTTGAAAACATCTTATATATTCATGGATGTCTTTTTAGGTAGGTATGTGATGACGCCAGAAACTCAAATAAGGTGGAAACTTCAAGTATGTTTGTGCAACGTGGCAGCATACGAGGAGAATTAATATTATCTTACTTTTCGTTACAAAACTTGACGTACTTATTGTATAAGCAAATCGTGACTATACTTTTTTCGTCTTCAGCAAAAAAATATTAAGTAACTTTAACGTTAAGTGTGGGAGAGCTATGCTTCGGTACGAATGAGCCGGTTCGACCGGAATAATACTACCGCCTAACAGAAAACCGACGTGAAACAACGCTTGCGTTGTGTTTCGTTTTGTGAGTGAGGTTACCGGAGGCCGAATTACCCCCCTCCCCAATCTCCTCAATCCCCCAATATCCCCAATCTTTGAATCCTCAAATTCCTAATCCCGAAAAGGCCGGTAACGCACTTGTAACGCCTCTAATGTTTTGGGTGTCCATGGGCGACGCCGAGTGCTTACCATCAGGTGATTCGTCTGCTCGTTTACCGGCTTATACCATAAAAATCTATGTTAATTAAAGAAAAGGTTTATAATCACATATTTCGTTCACAATACCAAGTAAAAGTGATCACCACGAATTGTTTTATTTTATTTTATTTTACACTTTAATGCACACAAAATAAGGTACATAAGGCGGACTTAATGCCATATGGCATTTTCTCCCAGTCAACCTTTGGGTTAAATGTAAGCTCAGTGAAAATGGGCCTGTGTAATATGCAAAAAAAAACAAAATAAATAACTAATAGTAATAATAAATACTGTATAAAAAAATATACGTTTAGTACCTACAAAAGTATGTATGTAGCATCTAGTATGATAGAGTACCCCGTCAAACAGTTACGCGAGTAACCCGAAAAACTTAATAATCAATACATAGTATAAAACAAAGTCGCTTTCGCTGTATGTCCGTATGTATGCTTAGATCTTTAAAACTACGCAACGGATTTTGATGCGGTTTTTTTAATAGATAGAGTGATTCTTAAGGAAGGTTTGTATGTATAATACATGCATATTGCACCCGTGCGAAGCCGGGGCGGGTCGCTAGTTACATATAAAAGGATTTTAGAAATTTTCATCATTATCTAAAGTGGATTCTGCCATCAACGCCATTTAATTTCATATTCACCTTGTTTCCTATGGAATAGAAAATTTCACAACCGTGGTATAAAAAGTAAAAATACAGCATTGTTTATGTAATAACCTTAGGGTATTTACAAGTGGGTATAAAAATGTCAAGATAGAACAAAAGAGCTTGCTTAGAACGTGTAACGGAAAGAACTGTAATAACACAAGACTTGCATGTCGACGCATTTTATTTTTATAGTAATAAAATTCTTGTTGGTTAATTTTTCATAACTTTAACTATGAAAAAACTTTCAATTAAGAATTGTTTATTAAATGTAATAATTAAAATAACGCAATCAATGTAAACCTACCTACTTAACAGTCAAAAAGAGATTTAAAAAAAATACAATGATATTTTTTATTCATGTTTTACATTTTAACTCGTCGAGTACCGTCATTATAGACACAATTATAGAACAATAGGTTGCAATCACCGGTAACCGCTTGGTGTTTGACAGTTTAAATACATTTTAAGACAGTTATTTCATTTGTTAAACAGCGAATAAATATCCAATGGAAGAAATTTGTTAAGAATATCTCGGATTGAACAAAAACTCGACTCAAAAGTTAACGATATTTCACCCTTGCACTTTGTGACTAAACTATTTTATATTTCAAGACTTCTTCGTCGACTTGGGAGTGCACGTAAACTCGGTCCCGGTGGTATTCGCAAATATATGGCAATCGTTATGAGTCAGAGTCCTGAGAATTTAACAACATATCTAAGTAACTTTACGTTACGTTGTTATACATAATATGCACAACATACAAAAAATTACATTTATTATAAGCCATTGCAATTTTATTCAAAGGATGATCAGCAGAAGTCTTCAGTAATCAGTCAAAAAGAAATCATTAATGTGGTACAATTACATTATTCTACATTTACATACACATGTAACCTCACACCTGTCTCCCATGGGGTTTTTTTTTTTTTAAGGGGGGAAAATCATCGAATGACTGCCCCCGCCTGGGTGAGGCGGGAGGGAGTGTCAGACTCTTACTGACTAAAAACCACCCCGTTCCTTCTCCTGCACGTCGAGCCGGAGCCCCGGTTACCCGTTAGGTTCTCCGCGACTCCGAATCGGCATCGGCCCTATTGGGCCCCATCTGTGGTGGTCTGATGGCTCTTTGAGGCGCGCGCGGAACGCGACGCGCCGTACGCTCGGGTCTGTTTCTGGTCGGACGGGGAGCCACCCATGCTCGCCGTCCGCAGGCCCGCGCTTACGGTGGCCGGAGATCGTCCCGCGATCCCCGACGCCCGGTGTGTCCTTCGCGATGGCTGGGTTGCGAGGAGGCAGCGCTTCGCTGCCTCACGCGTCCCGCCTCCTCCTTAGCTAGCATGACTGCTTCGCAAAAGGAGGAGACGGCATCCCAATCCCCCTCGCTCCGCATCATGGCCTGCACTAGGCCCGGACGCGAGAGGTCGCCATCGCCGATCACTTCCCTGAGGACACGGCGGTGCTCAGCCCACGAAGGGCATTCTCCCACCGTGTGTTCCACCGTGTCCTCAGGGCGGTCCTCGCAGTGATGACACCCGGGCGTTTCCTCCCGCCCCATCAGACACAGGTACCTCCCGAAACTGCCATGTCCGGTGAGGACCTGCGTCAGGCGGTAGGTGAGGACGCCGTAGCGTCTCTCAAGCCACTCCTCAAAGAGGGGACTTACCGCTGCGATGGCAGCGAGCCCAGCCCTCGGTTGCGACAGTCGTTGCTGCCATTCCGCCATGAGATCGCGCCGGAGCTCATCCCGCCACGCACTTATCTGGCGCGGCAGCGGAGTTTCGCCCCGGCGACGTGCCTCCGCGCGCATGCTGTGCACGCGCGCGAGCACCTTCGCCTCCAGATCCCACGGCGGTAATCCGGCAAGGAGGTTCGCCGACTCCCCAGAGATCGTGCGGTATCCGCGGAGTCTCCCATTGGGGTAGGCAGATACTATGGATCGCCGATTGCTACGATTCTTCCATAGTATAATACTTCTTTAGCTTCATCAACAGTCATCGGTCTTTATACTCTTTGCATGCATTTTCATGCAAAGAGTACTTTTAATTTGGCCCTTCTTTAATATATTGCCATGTCCTTCTAGGGCGCCCTCTACCGATATTCTTTCGTTACTCTTCTTTCATCCATCCTTTATAGATTTAGAAATCAATAACAAACAAAGATTGATATTTAATAACTTCGCATATAGAAATGTCCTATATTATTGGTCAATCAAAAAACTGCAAACAAAATTTGATATTTGCTTCCTTATTTGGCAGTTGTTTGTGCTTAAGGTCACACGCCACAAAGGCATTTTACTAGGGAAGCACTTACATCTTGTTTAAATCTTGTGGAAATATTTAAATTTTCCGCTAAATTAATCTAATTTCAGTTACTACCCAACGTTTTTCCGTGCCATATTTGTATACAAACCATTGCGTAGGTAGTTAATGAAAATTTATGTTTTATTTGAATAACGGTTTTTGTATTTCAAATATTGTAATGTTAAAAGCTGTTTATAAATTCATATCTATGTTTATAATTTAGAAATGAAAATGCTAGTCACGTGAGACGTGATTATCTTTCTCCTATTAAACCAACTCTCCAATAAACTAACATAATATATAAACCAACAAACTGTCCCAATACTGTATTTTAACAACACAGTTACGTATTTTGTGGCGTAATAATAGAAATAAACTACAAGCATGTTCTAAATAATATAATTCAGTTTGCACTGAAAATTATTAAACAATGTTAGCTTAATGCGTAAACCTATAATTGCATTTGATTAAATTTCAGCAAGGTTTTGTTATTGCTTTAATTAATAATTAAATTGTGTAATAAAATTACTACTACTTCTAATAAAATTGTGTATTATAATAGATATTTTAATAATGAGAACCCACACAACAAAATTGTGTGTACATTGTATTAATGGCAACAAATTGTTGTTCCACGTCTAGGTGTGATTATGTACATATGTGAAATTATATGTTTGTTAACGCACCCACGACCTAGGAAAATATCCTAGTTCGTACTATAATATAGCAAGGTTTTTATTAAAGGGAAATTCTTTATCTCAAGGAATTTTACCTCAATAACATTTGATATTTTGTAGTATTTTAGTTAAGAACAATTGTATTTTAAGGAATTTAAAACATTTTATAGGTAGGTACTTCTTTACTTATTTTTTTTTAAGGGAGGAAAATCATCGTATTACTGCTCCCGCCTAGGTGAGGCGGGAGCGGGGCGGGAGGGAGTGTCTGACTCTTACTGACTAAAAACCACCCCGTTCCTTCTCCTGCACTACAAGCCGAACCCGGTAACCCGTTAGGTTCTCCGCGACTCCGAATTGGTATCGGCCCTGTTGAGCCCCATCTGTGGTGATCTGATGGCTCTTTGAGGCGCGCGCAGAACGCGACGCGCCGTACACTCGGGTCTGTTTCTGGTCGGACGGGGAGCCACTCATGCTCGCCGTCCGCAGACCCGCGCTTACGGTGGCCGGAGATCGTCCCGCAATCCCCGACGCCCGGTGTGTCCTTCGCGATGCCTGGGTTGCGAGGAGGCAGCACTTCGCTGCCTCACGCGTCCCGCCTCCTCCTTAGCTAGCATAAAGAAACACACTACTTGACTGCACGGTTGGTGCGGTGGCTGGGCAACCGGCTGCCGTGCAACGTGTCGCGGGTTCGATTCCCGCACGGAACAACACTTTGTGTGATCCACAAATTGTTGTTTCGGGTCTGGGTGTCATTGTGTATGTGAACTTGTATGTTTGAAAACGCACCTACGACACAGGAGAAAATCCTAGTGTGGGGCAATGTTTTTAAAAAAAAAAAACACTATTGTATCACTATTTGCGAACTTAAGAACTATCTCAGGTTTGTTTTAGCCTTACACAAGGAAAGTCTTAACGTACTATAAGCATCACAAAAACTAGCACCTTGAGGAATCAAGAGCATATTTATATGTAAATCTATTTATTTTTTCATAAAACGCGCTGTCATCATTTTATGTTTCATCGTAAAACATTCAAAATTATTACCGGCTATAAAACAAAAGGGTTTCGTGAGAAAATGGAAAATATTGCTTCGGTTGTTATAAAATAAAGCGTTAACGACTTATCGTAGCCAACTTTCATCGTAACTAGTTGCTTGATAGAGTACCTATAGTAATTTAGACACATACATTTTTATCACTCCCTATCCTGCGGTAAAACATATGGGCATAAATAATGCGTATTATGCGTAAAAAAACTTCATACTTCATTTTTGGCTTTAGTAATAACCATATAGGTAACCTCAAAGCTCTTGTATGAACAGGATAAAAAGGGAGAATAGCTAAATACATATGTCCGCCTACTTAGGTCTATGACAAAAGACTATGATGATATTATTATATGTATAAGCGTCCTTATATTACAGAACTTTGCAATATCTTTAATACTAACAATGCGAACGTTCGACCGGGTGGTGAGCTATACCATAACTTAAGTACTATTGCAAGACCTGAGACTGGAGGGGGATAAGTGAATCGTCGATGTACGATACTGTGTTAAATTGCCTACTAGTAAAGAAGTAATTGTGATTGATAACTTCAAAATTTTAATTCATGAAAAACAATAATTTAAATCTAATTTGACAGTTATTGCATAACACTAATTCGTACTTCCACAAATATAAATATCGCATTTACATTAAAATTTCAGAATTTTAGATTAATAAATCATCCTTGCTTTCCATTGTAGTCGAATAAACGTAACTCGATAACTCGGAAAATGTTTATTTCGGTTTTGAAAGCGAACAGATTAACTGAGTTACAAGAATGGATGTTTCAATTTCAAGGCGTAGCTGCCGTTACAGATAAGGCAAGAAAGACAATTCGACGGATGATTGCAAATCCCGGTGAACAAGGGGTAGGAGCGTAATAATTAAGATTATTTTATTAAACATTTTGGGTACTATTCCTTTGAATAACTTGCATAGAAGAAATTAATTGATGGATTCTGTTTTAAAATGATTCACTATATTCATATGCATTTTCTGCCTATAAGTTATATGTATGTTGAACTTGGAAAATACTTTGTCCATTTTAATGAAGAGTTTTGTCCAAGTGTATGAATAAATAACGTTTTGGTTTTGTTTCAGTATGTTAAATATGGAAATATAATCCTTATTGTCATACACATGACAAAAACAACTATTTACTGAAACAACACACAGTATCAATAGAAATACAATGAAGATAATTCTTACATTATTTGTACTCACCGATACAGTTTTGTTTTCTTTTTTGACGGGGGGAAGTCATTCAATGACTTCTCTTGCCTTGAGTGAAGTGAGAGGGAGTGTCAGATTCTTACCAAATAAACACCACCGCGTTCCTACTTCTGTTCTTCAAGTCACCGGCAACCCGTTGAGTTCACCGCGGCTGTGTATCGACATTAGCCCTATTGGGTGGTCTATCTGTGGTGGTCTGATGGCTCTTTCAGGTGTGCGCGGAACGCATTACAATGCATGCCTACCTATATACTATTAATCAATTAAAAGGATTTACAAGGTTGTAATACTTAACAAATACAAAGAACTAAATAAAAAGTGTTCATTAAATATTCAATGGACACAGTTAGAAACGATACGTTTATGAAACTAATTTTGTAAACTGAGGGATAACAAAATTCGGTATTAATTAATAATTAATCAATGCGTATAAAAATAATTAAATTTTACAAAGGATTCCGTTGTAGAAGAATCTGTATTCACGTAATAAATCCTTATCTAATTAAAATTTTAATAATTATAACCTAAGGTTAAAAAAAAAAATATATATACCTAGGGTTTTAGTATAGGTAATAATAATTAGTCAAAATGTTGTATGCTATAGAATTGACTACACAGTATGAGACTCATAACTGGTCAACATTCAGTGGGTGTTACATTTTATATGTGCGAAATAACAATGATGAATTAACAAAATTATTTCGGTACGGACAAAATTTTCATCGAAATTAAATTCACCGAATTTCTCGTTAAAATTTACCAATATTCGTATGTCTTTATAACCGTAAGTTTTCTCTGAAATAATAATTACTCTGTTGTAGCCGTTGATTACTAGGTAGTGGTGATTAAATCATAAATGTTAGTTAAAACACGAAACATCCATTAGTCAGTAGAATCGGTCTCTTGTGCTTCCTGTGATTGATTATGCTGATGTTTGTTACTCTGACCTATCCCAAGACCTTCTTAACAAATTGGATCGAATGCTCAACAATTGTATCCGCTTTATCTTCGGACTACGTAAATACGACCATGTCTCTTCCTTTCGCGCTCAGCTTAAATGGCTTCCTATCCGTGAGAGGCGATCCCTTAGATCCCTCTGCATGCTCTTCTCTATTCTAAATGATCCTTGTGCTCCCGAATACCTAAAATCTGGCTTTCAGATTTTGGGCAGCTCTCACAGCCGAAATCTCCGTTCAGCTGAAAGTTTGCTTCTAGAGATCCCGTCTCACCACACTTCCTTCGTTTCTAACTCCTTTAGAGTTAGTGTAATTAAATTATGGAATGCACTACCCCATAGTATAAAAATGGCTCCAAACAAAATGGCTTTTAAACGTAGTGTTCGTGAGGCCTATTTAAAGGCGCTACAACGCTGAGTTCGTGTCTTCTTTAATTTATATCTTCGTCAATTTATATTATATTATAATTATATATATGAAGTTATTTATGTATGTACATATTTTGTGTTTATTATATATTTTTATACAGTATGTTATACAGTATTTATTATTATTATTACTATTAGTTATTTATTTTGTTTTTTTTTTTGATATTACACAGGCCCATTTTCGCTGAGCTTACATTTAACCCAAAGGTTGACTGGGAGAAAATGCCATATGGCATTAAGTCCGCCTTATGTACCTTATTTTGTGTGCATTAAAGTGTAAAATAAATAAATAAATAAATAAATGTACTAGTTTGTAACCCAATTTAAATCAACATACTAGTTCTTATGAAATAACAACTAATTATAGCCATTTAAGGATTTTATAATCCTTACAGTATATTTATTAATTTTGGTTTACTTCGCAACGGAGTGATAGGCTTAGAAATACATGGTCAAGTCCCAAAATTAGGTTATGAAATCAAGTCATCAAACGAAGCAATTATACTTCGTTTGTTACGTTTTATTATATTAAATCTATAATTAATTTTGCTTAGAAAGAGATAAATAGATTTGCATATCAGTGTTGAAAAATAAACTAATCTTTGAATACCAACCATGAACCATTATGTATTAGAAGTTTTAATATCCAAAAACTATCGATTCGAGGAAGGGAGAAGGAACTTGTGGAGATTCAAAACAAATTAAACGTTTGCATTTACACAACCTACATTTTAAAAACTGAGACCCTAGAGAATTAATTGTGTAGGTAAGTATTTTTCGTGCAAAAATCCGATATTTTCTCTTGAAAAATATTCGTACATACACTGGGGTTCGGTCAAACGCGAAAATTCTTTCTTTTTGAATTCGTGTCGAATTTAATTTCTCAAAGGATTAATTAACATACAATATCTTTTTTATCGATTTCCACTGAAACTGTCTTAAAAATCTTCATACAAAAGCTCGACCAACTACTAAAATATTTTTAAACATGAGTGTTATACTGTACATATTTTTACTTTTACGATCGTAAACTTTTGTATTTTTATTGTCACCTTTGTGACTTAAAACTGCTGCAGTTACGGCAGTCATAGCACTACGGTTTTGCTAGGAACTTTATACTCAATTTTATGTAGAAGTTCATAGTTCTTATTATGTTTAGTACTTAAGAGAGTATAAAATCTACTATGTCGTGCGGGCAGGGTAACAGCGGCGTCATAAATATCTGCATCTTTATTTTAAACTTCTGCGGTAAGACCTTCACGCAAGCTGTGTTTATCAACACAATATTTAAGTATAGGAGAGCCATTCGACACGAATAGGTCGGCTCTACCGGAGCGATACCACGGCCTCACAGAAAACCACTGTAAAATAACGCTTACGTTGAGTTTCATCGTGTGAGTGAGGTTATCGGAGGCCTAATTACCTACTCACCCCGGTCTCCCTAATTCCAGATCCCCCCAAAATCCTCACATTACCAATTCTCAAAAGGCCGGTGACGCTCTTGTAACGCCTCTGGTGTTTCAGGTGTGCATAGGTGGCGGCGATTGCTTACCATCAGGTGATCATTTTTGACATTATGGCCAATCCTTTTATTGTAGATATAAAGCCCCTTTCGATGTCATTAGCTGTCGGTAGTTCTTCATATTTCTTCTTATCAACTTGTAGTACTTTCTTTTCTCGACTTTACCTATTCAAATAGTAAGTGTAATTTATGTTTAAATATTACCTTCTATTGTTCAAGAGGATAGTTCATTACCAAACATCACTCTGATCATTGAGCACAATCGTTTTTATTGAAGATTCATTTTCATCAATTAGAGTGTACCCAACTGAATGTAGGTGTTTCGTATGTAAAGCCTCGACGTCTCTAGAGAATTGAGTGTAATATTGTGTAGTGTGGCGACGAGTAGGTATTGTTACCACTCCTATGACTAAGTGCCGTGAAATACCTAAATGTCGGGTTTCTAGTGGTGCTGTTTATTTTTACACGAAATGTTTAACATGTACCTAACAATCAATCATTTCCAGAACCCACTCATTGTAAACGGAATATTTGTTTACACGAGTCTTATTACCTCGTGAAGGCTAAATGGGATTAAAAAATGAAATACGTCATTTTTTTCGCCAATTTGGCGTTACATCATTTTATTTCATTGATTTTGCACATTGTTGAAATTATATTCTACTACATACGTGTATATTGGCAATATTTTATATTTTATTAAACATTTATAAATAAGTATATTGATAATGTAAGGTGTAGCTTATATTGAAATATTTCGAATATGCAATACACTTATTTCATAAAATTATTATCTATGAGCAATAAATTGTTTTCAGTAAGATCTAGTTAGAGTGAAAGTTTTTGAGACATGAATTTTGGAAAATTTTCAAAGATAACACTATTTTTATTGTTGAAAAGATGAAATAGGATAGTTTGAAATTACATTGGACAGCAAATTAAATGATCTATACAACTCGGCGTGACAAGAAACAGGAATGTACTATAAATATTTGGAATTTAGTGTAAAATGGAGTTACAAAAATATGCCTTAATTCAATATAATAGATATTTCAAAATTACTTGCCATGATATTCAATTCAAATAGAATATTTTCACAATTTTCTTATACTTATAATAGATATTATAATATCTAACCTAATTAGATTGCTATACACAAGTACGTTCGTACATTGCGGAAATAAAAAGGAATTTATAATTATTTACGAATAAATCAGTTGGAAGGAACAATTTGATAAATGCGTTCCTTAGGGTTATAATACGTCCGAATTGAGAATACACTCACAGCTAGGTGGGGTCGATGGTCGTCGGTTGTGCGTTGTTTGCCAGGGTTGTCATTAATTGGTGAGCGGGTGCCATTGTTTGACCTGTTCCATGGGCGCGGCGAGTGCTGAGTTCCAGTGTTGTAAGGCGCGCCCCCTAGCGAACATGTATGATCCTAACACGAACTTCCCGAGCAGTCGGTCTGCAACAAACGAGTTAATATTGTATGTCTCTAGGGCTTGTTCAATTACGAAGCATAGTGGAATATGGAATTAATTCTGAAATTGCTCATATTGTGCAATACCTACACATATTGTGTTAGTTCTTTAAAATTACTTTTCATTATTAATGTTCTACTTATGAATAGAGGAATTGAAAGCTGGTAGATATTTATTATCTTCGTACTTCGCTGATAGATATTATTTGTTAAGAGAAAAAAATCAAGCAGTAGTCAAAAAACTTAAAGTGTAAAGTTCAAATTATTAAAGTAAACTTAAATTTCTTATTCTTAATCATAGTCTAATTTAACGTAATCCCTAATTACGTTTTTTTAGACAATACAAGAAAGTTCATAAATTTGAGTTTCCTACCTTTGGCATAAACGGAGTGCGGCTGCAAGGCCTGTATCGTGACACTGGTGGTGTGTAACTCGTCAGCTCTGAGCCTGAAGTGGAAGCACTCGGAGACGAAAGCACTGCCATCGTCTGCCACCTCGACCGCCGCAGTACGACGCGCGCGCACTCCTCGACACGCACGCTCTTGCGTCACACGTACCACCATCTCTTTCTTACTTGAGGATGGATCCAACTTAGAACAAAATTTAATGATGAATATCAAAAATATTTGGCTAAGCTATTGTTTGACATAATCATTAAAACATTGTGAAGTTTTAGTCGTTACACAAATTATGATGATTGAGGTTCAAATTATGAAGGGTTCCAAAAAAGAACAGTCGAAGCAATACTTCTCTACATAACAACATTTATATGTTAAAGTTCATTCAAGCAAAATTGTCGAAGCGTATGGCAACCGGACTTCAGTTCAATTCAGATTCAAATTGGTGTTTCCTTTCGAGGAACCGTGCTATCTTATTCGAGTACAGTCAAATAACTACCTACCTCTATATTGAAAATTGCATTAAGCTACGAGTAGCTCTATCTAGGTATGTTTGCGTTTTGTATCATTGTATAATCAAAATTACATAACATAACATCACGCCTTTTATCCCCGAAAGGGTAGGCAGAGGTGCACATTATACCACTGCACAATGTAACACCCACTTTTCACTATTTATGTTATGAGTCCCATGTAACAGGGGGTGAGCCTATTGCCATATATACCGGGCACAATTCCAGATTCCGTGCTACTACTGAGAATATTTAAAAACCCAGTAATACTTTGCCCGACCCGGGAATCGAACCCGAGACCCCTTGCGCGGCAGTCGCACTTACGACCACCCGACCAAAGAGGCAGTCAAAATTATAGGTTCCAAAATTCGAATTTGAAATGCTAAAAATGATTCAATGCAAAAAATATTGTTTAGCTATTCTGGAAAAAATTAGGTGATTGACCTTCGATGTTATGAATTTCAGAGGTCAAACCATGGAATCTTGAGAATGTCTCTAGAATTTCGCATTTTACTTAAAATTCAGTAATAATTCCCACAACAGAAAACCCATACGATGACGAAGATTTATTACATCAATTCTTCTATAATCTTTTCGCATTTACTAGTACTAAAAGGACTGATACTTTTTGTTTGTATTTAATTTAACGTCACCACCTTACCTTGAGCCCTCGAGCTTCTATCACTGTGACCGTGAGCCTGTGTAGGTTTTCATTGTACAATAACGAGACGAGGATCTCGCCTAGATCTGAAGTCGGTTCTTGAAGATCCTGTAGAACAGATTAGGATTTAATAAAGTTAATTTTAAATACGAAGGTAGTCTGTATTTATATGATAAGGGTGATTAAGAGTACATACTTTCAAATATATTTAGTTTCACCAATTTCAAATGTCTTAGAATATTACAGTACATTAAGGACTAATTTAAAAAAATGAAATAGTGCGTCGAAATAAAAGCCACAAATAAACGTACTAACACAAGTTCAAATAAGTATGGTGACCTTATAAATATCTACAGCTAACAATTTTCATTCAAAATTCTAATACAAACTTTAATATTACTAAGTAAAACTGAAACATATTTGACTTCAAATAGAAATAAAGGTACGAAGTTTGTTGAAATTAAATGTAAATGTTACACATTAACCCAAAATATTTAAAAGCAAATGTTGCTTTAAAAATAGCACCGGCGGTATTTATGTAAACATTTCTTCTACATCTAGCCATTCGCTCTTATTCTGTTTCGGAAAGTTTGTCCCTCGTGGCGTACCTACACATCCCCTGTTTCGTCAGCACAGAATTTTTTAGTACATTTCCTCTGTAGTCCCAAATTGGGAAGCTACAAAGAATTTTAAATAAAATAATGGAGTTTTGTTTACCTGTACTGTTTGTTATTTTCTAAATATAAACTGGTTTGCTTTTGTTTTACCGTCGAAACATCAGAGGCCTTAGTACGAGTTTGTCTTTCGTTTAAAGTAATTGTAACGAGTACGCGTTCGGCGCTGTGATTGGTTGCTTCATTGGTGCCAGCCAATCAGAGTGCCGAACGCATACTCGTTTCGAATACTTTAAATGTAAATGAAACTCGTACTAAGGCCTCAGATAAATAATAATTTTCGTTTTTAACTAAATATTATTGATTGTTGAATAGCTCCTTATTCATACTAGCTATCAGACAAATTTTACTAGTGAGTCGAAATTAAAACACGTGACTTACTAATACAACCCGCTTCTAATGAATGAATAAGTAATGGTAATTAAGTCAAAATCGGATGAGAAATATTTTATAATTAATTTTCTTTTTTTTTCGCTTTAAGAAAAAATCCCCCACACTACGATTTTCTCCTGTGTCGTGGCTGCGTTTACAAAAATACATACT